CACACAGACTGTGAGTAAAATTGTGGACAGCAAAAGGCGCATAAACAAAAAAGCGGACACGAAGATTGCGGACACGGAAGAATGCAGATACGGAAAATTGCGCATACGGAAGTTTGTACACACTAAAAGTGAACACAATATCCATCTGGTCACATTGTCACAACTACGCATATTACCTATTTGTGGCACTTACAAGATCCACGTTTTGGCCTATGCCTTCAAAAGTAACAACTTGTGGCGGTTATGGCATTTACATCCAAGGTGCTCGTTAGTTCGACCGCTGTGAACGTACCGTACTGCACAGTTTTGCAAAACTATCTACAGAACTACACAGCTTAGGCATCGATCGCCTACTACAATTAGTCGTCTCAACGAATCGGCGTCCGAAGCTCACTGTGTGTCAGCAGGCCGAGTTAATGTTCTGACTCCCCTAGCCATCATTTTGAAGACGCTGAAATCAAAGTTGGCTATTTTCACCTGAGTCAAAACGTCATAAGGAATGTCAGCAATGTGGGCCTAAAGACTTCCTTGGTATCAATATCAGAAATCACTTCAGGGTGAAGAGTTCTTTTCGCTAAACTCTCATCGGACACAAACGTTTACATAACACTGATTTTGGGGAAAGCGTCAACTCGGGCTGGGATTGACTTCTGGACTGTTTGAACAATCAAAATCGATAAGTTGAGACAGGGATATAAATGGTATGCCAAGTGAACTAAAGAAACATGCATACAATACTCAGTAGTCCGAAGTAATCAGGTAACGTAACCACCAAATATCTAAGTAACAGTGTCCGTTGGCCAAGGTATTAACATCGGCCGGAAGTATGTGTACAAAAACTATTCATACGGCCGATAATGCCACCTTTGCCAACTGACAGTTACTTAGTTATTTAGTTGTTACGTTACCTACCTGTTTATTTCGAACTACTGAGTATTGTATGCATGTTTATTTAGTTCACTTGGCATACCATTTATATCCGGTTTTGATCGTTCAAACAGTCCAGAAGTCAATCCCAGCCCGAGTTGACGCTTTCCCTAAAATCAGTGTTACGTAAACATTTGGGTCCGATGAGAGTTTA